AGTATCTCACAGGAGTTGACATGAGGAGGGGGGAGGGGGGGAAAGGGGGGGGCTGATGGAAGAGGACGAAAAAATGTAATTTGGGGTCCGTTTGGGGTCCGTGTTGCGAGGCTGCTGGGGTCCGGAAGACGAGACGAAAGAAGGAAAATAAAAAGAAAAGAAAGAGAAAAAAGAGAGAAAGAAAGAAGGAAAAGAAAAAAGGATTAAATGAGAAGAAAAGAAAGAGCAAAAGAAAAGAAAAGAAAGAAAAGAAAGAAAAAAAAAAATAGATATCTACATATCTATCTATCTCTTTCTCTCAATATAGATTAATTTGCTGAACCCTTCTTTTTCTTTTGCTTAAACAGTAACCTTTGGGGGCCTCATTTGCACATAATTATAAACCTATATATATATATATATATATATATATATATATATATATATAATATATATATATATATATATATATATATATATATATATATATATATATATATATATATATATATATATATATATGTGTGTGTGTGTGTGTGTGTGTGTGTGTGTGTGTGTGTGTGTGTGTGTGTGTGTGTGTGTGTAGTGTGTGTGTGTGTGTGTCCTTCTTTCATTCTTTCTCTCTCCTTTCCTTTCGTACTTCTCTCTTTTCTCTTCTCCCTCCTCTTGTCCCCCTTTCTTACCATAAACCCACGCAGTTACCGAGACATAAACCTCCACATGTCCAATATTAGATAAAGCAGCAAAAAAAAAAAAAAAAAAAAAAAAAAAAAAAAAATGTAAATCTGGCCAGAGAAATCCTGGTACAGATTTATCCTGCATTAGGCAACACTTGATACCGTTGCGAATATTGGATTTCGCATCAGTCAGGGGCCATTTTTTGCAACGAGAAGATACACGTACACTTTCCGTTATCTTTACTTTCGATAGCTTATCGTACCTGTGTGTCATGAGGGACAGTAAAGGGTTGGAATGAGGGACGGGAGGGAGAGGGGGGGGAAGGGGGAGGGGGAGGAGGGGGGGTATATGGCGTATTTCCCTTCCTCATGAATCCTAAATTTTATGTTTGCTTTTTGCTTTTTGTTTTTTATGTTTGTTAAATCTTATGTTTAAATAATTTAAAAATCTTATGTTTTTTTGTGTTTTTTTTCATATGTTGATGTTTTTAATTGTTTTTTTTTTCATAAATAGCATCGTTCTATCTATTTATCCAATTCCATTATTTCGTAGATATCTCTATCTCTAAAATAATGTCTTATAATTGTTTGTTCTCATAAATAACAACACTATCTGTCCTATTTTCATTTCTTTAATACCTTTATCTTATCTATCTCTCTTTTTCCAAACCCTTATTTCAATTACTTAATATTTACATCTGTCTCTACATCTATTCTTCTTAAAAGATAATAAAAGATTGATAAAAAAAAACTCACAACCCTCCCTCCCCATACCCCCCAACCCCCTACCTTCCCCCCCGTTTAAAACCTCATTTTTCCAACCTCATAACATTTCCCTCGCATCATTCACTCACCTTTCCTCTCCTCCCCTTCTTCTTTAACTCTCACAAATCTACCAGTTGTCCGTCTCTCTCTCTCTGTATTCGTAAATCTCTGCTATATTATTCATGAGAGAGAAAGAGAGAGAGAGAGAGAGAGAGAGAGAGAGAGAGAGAGAGAGAGAGAGAGAGAAGAGAAGAGAGAGAGAAGAGAGAGGAGGGAGAGAGAGGAGAGAGAGAGAGAGAGAAGAGAGAGAGAGAGGAGAGAGAGAGAGAGAGAGAGAGAGAGAGAGAGAGAGAAGAGAGAGAGAGAAGAGAGAGAAGAGAGAGAAGAGAGAGAGAGAGAGAAGAGAGAGAGAGAGAGAGAGAGAACCAAGACCTCGAGAGAGAGAGAAAGATAGATAGAGAGAGAGAGAGAAAGACTGGAGCCATGTCTTGAAAGATAAAAATATCGTCTAAGACAGTCTAAGATGTCTAAGAAAGTCATGCCTGTTGAGTTTCTTACGTGGGTCGTCCATTTTTTTTCTTCCTCTTTTTTTCAGATTTTGTGTTATGAATTGAGTTACCGATACTTGTTTCTTATAAAAGTGAACGAAAAGAAAAGAAAAAAAAATAGATGCGTTTTTTTAAATAATGTAGATTACCTGCCTCGTCTACCTGTATGCTTGTCGTCTTATCTTGTCTGCCTTGTGTGTATGTGTGTGTGTGTGTGTGTGTGAGTGTGTGTGTGTGTGTGTGTGTGTGTAGTTTTGTGTGTGTTTGTCTCTCTCTCTCTTATCTATCTATCTATCACTATCTATCTATCTATCTAATCTATCTCTATCTTATCATCTATCTGTCAATCCCTCCCACTCCTCCCTCCCCTCCCTCCCTCCTCCTCCCTCTCCCTCCTCCTTCCTCCTCTCCCTCCTTCCTTCCCTCCTCTCAGCCTCCTCTCCCCTTTTTCTCCCTCTCCTTCCCTCTCTCTCCTCCCTCCCTCCCTCCCTTTTTCTCCTCTTCCCTCTCTTCTCCCTCCTTCAGCTCCTCTCCGTTAATGCATACTTCCTTCACCTCCATTTAACTAATCGATACACCTTCCTTAATCACCTTTTTATTCAAGAGTGCAGTTTCATGGCTCACTTCCCTTCGTTTATCAGATATTATCGATTTTCTTTCCTTGCTTCTTATTTTTGAAAGGCTTCTGTGATTCCTTTGTGGATATCTTTTTTCATCTCTTCTTCCTTCTTTATTTAATATCTGGTTCTCTCGTTTGTTTGTTTGTTTGTTTGTATTATTACACACATACATACATACATATAATATATATATAGTATATATAATATATATAATATAATATATATATATATATATATATATATATATATATATATACATATATAATTCTTCTTTACTTTTCTTTCTCTCAAACTATCTATCTATCTCTTTTTCCTCTATTTCTCTCTCTCTCTCCTCATTCTCTTATCTTCTCTCTACTCCTCTCTCTCTCCTCTCTCTCTCTCTCTCTCTCTCTCCTTTCTCTTTCTCTTTTCTCTCTCCTCCTTCTCTTCTTCCTCTCTCCTCTCTCTCTCTCTCCTCTCTCTTCTCTTTCTTTCTCTCGTCTCTCTCTCTCTCCCTCCTCTCTCTCTCTCTCTTTCTCTCTTCATTCAAACTCTCACACTCATCTCACTCTCTCTCTTTTCAAACACCTCACTCACTCTCTCTCGTCTCTCTCTCTCTCTCTCTACTCTCTCTTCTCTCTCTCTCTCTCCTCTCTCTCTCTCTCTCTCCTCTCTCTCTCTCCCTCCTCTCTCTCTCTCCTCCTCCCTCTCTCTCTCCCTTCCCTCCCTCCCTCCCTCCCTCCCTCCTCCCTCCCTCCTCCCTCCCTCCTCCCTCGCCTCACCTCCTCCCTCTCACTCACCCTCACTCACTCTCTCACTCACCCTCACTCTCTCTTTCCTCTCACAACCCTTTCTCTCTCACCATCTCACTCTCACTCCCGCCCTCCGTGTCTGAAGAAAACAGAGATAGCGAGTACTATGAAGACCACAAATACAGCCAATAAAAGGGTTTCACAGGAAGGTAGTCATAGTCATAGCAGGTGGGGGGGGGGGGGGGGGGGGGGTGACTATGGTATTTTAAAAGGGTGTGTCACCGATGATGTTGGTAGTCATAGCACGGGGGGGGGGGGGGGGGACTTGGTATTTTTAAGGGTGTGTCATTGATGATAAAGTTGAATGTGTATGTAGGTATGTAGGTATGTGGAGTATGTGGTGGGTTGTATGAGGTGAGATGAGGATGAGGAATAAGCATATGTTGGAGAGTATGGAGAGACGTTATGATGATAATGTAGAGAGTTTATGATGATTTTGATGTAATTTAAAATGAAAAAGATTTGAAAGTTTTGGAATTGTCTGAACAAGTGTACTTGGTTGCTTTATTCGTATATTTATCTTTATTTTTCTTTATCTTTATCTCTGATTATGTCTAATTATCTTTTCTATTTCATCCTCTCCTCTCTCTCCTCATTCTCTTTTCACTTTCCTGTTCCTCCTTTTTTCTCTTTCTCTTTCTTTCTCTTCCTCTTCCTATCTCTCCTTCTCTTTCTTTCTTTTCCTTCCTTTTCCTATCTCTCCCTCTCTTTCTCTTTCTCTCTCTCCTTCTCTCCTTTCTTTCCTCTTCTCTTCCTTCTCTCTCTCTTCTCCTTCCCTCTCTTCTCATCTCCCTCTTCATTCTCCCTCTCTCCTTCTCCTCTCTCTTTCTTCTCTCCTTCTCCTTCCCTCTCTTATTTCCTTCCGCATATGCATCCCTCATCTCCCCCCATCCAGGAAGGAACTAACACCCCCCTCTCCCCTCGCCCCCCCCCACACCCCCCCCGCCGCGTCCCAGAAACGAANTGTGTGTGTGTGTGTGCGTGTACGTGTGTGCGTGTGCGTATACGTGTGCGTGTGAGCGTGTAGGACGTGAGCGTGTGCGTAAAGGAGTCTCAGACGCTGATTACGAACACCCGTAGCAGGAGTCTTATCCCCGCGCCAGTGATACGAATCCTCACAGAGCCATCTGTTCCCCGTCAGTTCGCCTTCCTCGCGCCGCCGAGAGCCTCGCGACACACGCGGGGGAGCCAGCTGCTATTTAGTCAATCATCTAAAGTATTTTCAAGGATATTTTTACTACGGAGACCCGCGGGGTTTTAATGCACGAAGGCCGCAAAAATTTACAAACCATGTATTTAAAAAACAGATAAAAAAGATGAAGATCTGTGACAATAATTCCTGTGTCACGGCATGAGGCAAGACCTTCAGAAAAATGGTCATGACCTTTGTGTTGTGACATTCCAGAAAGAGAACAAAAAACATGGCCTAGGTCGGAGGCGAAACTCTCCGAAGACGCGGGAGTTCAACAGGCCACGCCCACCGGAGCCGCGGGAATTCGACAGGCCACGCCCACCGGTCCGGCGACGGGGAGAAGACTACCCCGCGGAGCCGGCCGGAGGGTCAGTCTTGCCTCGGTGCCCAAAGCGTCCGCATAGGAGGTGAGGAGCGAGAGAAAGCCACGTGGGTTCTGGACTCTCGTGGTTCTGAGTCCGTGGCTGTGATTTGTTTTATTAAACCGTGACTGGGTTTAGTGGAAGTACTTCGGGCAGCGACACTTAAGCCTACAACAGTGACCTCTCGGGAGCAGAACGGTAACACGGATGCGTTACATAAGGTCGAAACACATAGCCAAGAACGGTATGAATCATTAGCACAGACACAGCACTGCATTTTAGGGTTCCGCCAAAAAGTGCATAACATAGAGACACTGACACAGCTGAAAATTTATCCTGTCGGGGTCATAGCCGTCTGTATCTTAGATAAATGAATATCTCAGAAATGTGAATCGGTAATACGTTAAACGCGACACTCTCTAAATACATCTTTAAATCGCCGTTTGGTTAATATACTTTTTCTCAGTCGTTCTTATTGGATTTTAAAAGACTGTTTATTATCATTTAACAACCGCACTTTCATAACCCGTTACTGCGTTATCATTCGCTCCACCAAATAAACTTCTGTATGAATCAGAGTTTTCTTCGCGAGTCATTTGTAAGAGAAACTGCACGGTGCTGCTTAA